GCTGATTCAGTGCCTCATTTCGGCTGTTGGTAGGTGCGCCAGTGAGCCGGTTGAGTAGCAAATGCATTAAACACTCGAGCCTACTGCGCGGTCCAATCGTGGGGCCAATGTGGCTTTGGTTCTGAGGCTATCAGCTCCCTCTCAAAGCCAAAATCCTCCATCTCTCATGCCACCTCGGGACGTGCTCGTGTGGAGTTTTCACGCAGTCACTATGCGTCTTACTCTTTCTGTTTCTTTCTTTTATTATTTCCTTCTTTCTAGCTTTCAGTCTTTCTTTCACTCTTTACATCCATTTTAGTCTTTTATTACCAAATCTTGGATACACTTTCAACGGACTTCCAGACCAAGACTGGTTATGCCGCCTAGAAAGTGACAGTCGTCAAACAAAGGGCCTCATTAATACAAAATAATGCAATATATTGCCGATTTTGTGAAAGCCGCCTAGACTGATGCGACAATTGACAATCAACATTTTCTTTTCTCCAAAAATGTCCCGTTTAAGTATTTGGTCGGCTCCTCTCTCCGTTTTGGCTCCTCCCTTATCCGAGCATGTTTGCACAGTTTGCCCACGGCCCTTGTGCACTTTACTCTAGGCCCAAAGTTTCCCTGCCTCCATCCTCCCCTCGTTTTCCACCGTACAACACACACACACACACACACACACATAGCAAGAAGGTGTCTATGCACAGGCGAGTAAACACGCTTGTCGGATGCGTCTGCCAGGGTGGACGTGTGCAAGCCATCGGGAGCGTGCTCAGGTTTGTGGATGTGCGAAAGACGCCGTCTCACTTCATAGCCCGGAGCCTTATTGCTGTGGTAACCAGGCGGGTAATTGGACGCATTTGAGGTATCATCCGAGTCTTCTGGCAGGCGCAATATTGCCCAGGCCAGGCGACATCTGCTTCTCATAGTCGAGAGGCTTTCTCATTCGGCTTTTTCGCACGTAGTGCTGCCGTCCTGCCGTCTTGTACCCTCTTCTACCGTCTTGTACCGTCTTGTACCGTCTTGTACTGTCTTGTACCGTCTTGTCCTGTCCTGTCCCGTCCTGTCCTGTCTTGTCGCGTCCCCGAGTTCGGCTGCGAAACCATCTCGACGCCGGCTCGACTCCAGCCCCACTGTATCGCATTTCACACGAACACCCAACCAACACACAGCATCGGGCACACAAACACTTGCTGACATGCATGTGCCTGCCTCTATCACACAAACACACACACACATATATTAATATATAAATATAAATATATATATAAATATATATATAAATATATATATATATGTATGTATGTATGTATGTATGTATGTATGTATGTATGTATGTATGTATGTATGT